AACAAAAGTATTAGTTTAAGGGTGTGCACACTTATGTAACCGCATTATTTTAGTTTATTTTTACTTCCCTCCACCTAAAAGATTTCAGTTTGTTCAACTGAGTTGTACAGTTTATAGGTTACATTAAAAGGTGGAAAAAGTCCTGAAATGATTTATCTTTATCTAATTTTTTTACATCACAGAAACCTAACATTGTAACAGGGGTGTGTAGACTTTTTATATCCACTGTATATCTCCATAAAATATGCCATTATGAGGACAAGAACCAAAATCATCAATTTCATAGAATGTGCCAATGGAGGTGTGCCCAATGAACACACCAAAAAGAAATAAATGTATATTGTTAAAAAAAATGAGTTAGTAAAATATACATTGCAGACCAAAAGGGCTCACAAACTGCAATGGTCGAATACCCATTACAAGAGATTTTATATGACAGCATGGACTTCTAGTCCTTTGTTTAAGCCCTGTACAGCTGGAATACCTAGACGTTGATCACATCACATTATCCACACAGTGATTTGACTTTATAGCAGTCCTTTGTATGGAAAACTCTCTTTTTTGTGGGATTTTAAATAGGAACAGACAAAACCAATAGAATCATTAGATAAGTAAAAACTTTTACAGACCATACTTTATTTATACAAAATATTAAAATGAACATGAACACACAAGAAATACATTACGTAGCTGTTGCAATAAATGCATAGGTAAGAGAAACAGAACAATTAATGGAAGCACTTGACGCGTTTCGAGACTAAAAATAATATCTTCTTCAGAAATGCCTAAACAAGCTGTAATGGATATGTAATTATAATCGCATCTCCATATATCTCCAATAGGAGTTGCAATCACATGTATATGGATATCACTTACATAGCCCAACATATCAGCAGAGAACAATAGAAAACCGCCAGTAGGCTAAAACCAGAGAACACAGATGTGGCCAGTATTTCCAAGATCCTCCCAAACAGAAAAAGCGGGGAAGAAGGGAAAATTAGGAAAGGGCATTGCCCCACTTGCCTCCAAGAGAAACCACTTCATGGCCCCACCTGGGCAATAGATAGGAATACCCCATTCAAAATGGTGATTTCTATGAAAATATATAAATGAGCAATAAGAAAGATAGGACAAAAAGTAATGGTGCACTTAAAAATGAACAAAACACAAGTCATTCTTATAGGAACAAAAAAGATGCTTATTTAGAGTGAATTTGTGACAAATCATGTGTCTCAGAGTTATATAATAATTGTATGTTGTCAAAGTCCTAATGAAATAGGATGGTTCTCTGACATTGCTGAGTCTATAAAAAATCAAATCACAAATAATTCATTAAAAAAAAAAAATAGCATATTAACATGCCACTAAGGTATGGTAAGGTATATCACATCGACACACAAAAAGATCGGGAGAAATGCGCGGCTGGAAGGAGGACAACCAAGCCTCTCCACATATACTTGTGATTGTAACTCCTATTGGAGATATATGAAGATGTGGTTATAATTATATATCCATTACAGATATCATGCTTGTTTAGGCACTTCTGAAGAAGAGATTATTTTTCATCTCGAAACGTGTCAAGTGCTTGCATGAATTCTTCTCGGTTTCTCTCACCCATGCATTTTTTGCAACAGCTATGTAATGTCTTACCACCATTTCTTGTGTGTTCATTGTAATATTTTGTACAAATAAAATATGGAGTGTAAAAATTCTATTGGTTTTGTCTGTTACTTTAAAATCCCCAAAAAAAGAGGGATTTCCAAACATGCTTTAATAGGGATGATGGCAATTCTTGTTATCACATCCATTGTTTTTCTTATATCAGTCCTTTGAGCGCTGAAGATGTGTGTTTGTTTTGTAGCTTATCCAATTCACGTGTCAGGAAAATACCCCAACATTTATAACTACATAGGTAGCAGACACACCTTAACCAAACATCATGGAAAGGCAGATGTTACCGTTCAAGACACTCATTGGAACGAACTGAAGAGTGGCTTAGATAAGTTACATCATGATATACAGAACAAGTCTAGTTGCATGAACAACTACTACTAGTACTGCTACTGCTACTACTACTACGAGAATTCAATAAAGCTGCTGTGCCGCTGGCGTTAATCCTAAAAGCATCATTTTTGGTTCTAACAGCCACTTGTGCACCAAATTCAGGTAGTTCGAAAATGTGTCACTTTTACACTTTGCAAAAAGCTTTCATAAGTGTTCTAAAATTGGCGCAGTTTTCTTCAAATTCAAGTACAAGTTCTAGAAAATTACATGAATTTGATTCACACTGCACCACTTTTAGAACACATGCAAGACACTTTCACAAAACCTGTTTGCACCAGTCTTTATAAAATTCCAGGGACCATGATTTGGATACACGAGAACCTTCACAAACTGTCCACTGTTTAGTCAGACAGACCCTGTTTGGAAAACTTCAGTACAATAAGAGGATCAGCAAAGCCCTGTTCACACATACTGCAGTGACCTGTGTTTTACTGCACTGGAAGGATACATACAATTGTTTTCTACGTATCCTGTTCACACCACAACGCTACATGTGCGCATTTTAACATAATGTACATGCCAGTTTCGGAAGGATGTATCCTTCACCTCTTTTGGGTGAAGTTCCGCTTTAACGTGCACAAAAACACATGTCAACACACTTATTTATTTCAGGTACTTATATAGAGCCGTCAATTTACGCAGCGCTTATATATATTGTACATTCACATCAGTCCCTAACCCTCAAGGGGCGTACAATCTAAGGTCCCTAACTCACATTCATACATACACATACTAGGGCCAATTTAGACAGGATCCAATTCACCTACCAGCATGTCTTTGGAGTGTGGCAGGAAACCGGAGTACCTGGAGAAAACCCACGCAGGCACAGGGAGAACTTGCAAACTCCAGGCAGGTGGTGCCATAGTTGGGATTCAAACCAATGACCCAAGTACTGCCAGGCGGAAGTGCTAACTATTTAGCCACTGTGCTGCCCACACGTAAAAATGCATGTCAATGGAAGGGATTGCATATGCTTTTTTTCCAGCATTTACATTCATTTTAATGCACGGTTTATGTGTAAACAGGTCTTAACACAAGTTGATTACACTACTTTAAAGGATAAGTTCACCTTTGGGGACATGTTACACGTTCCACCCGTTTTTAGGGTGCAACATGTAACATGTTCCCATAGCTGCAGCCACCCCCACTGCCCACCCTTCCTCTCACAGATAATACGGGGAAAAGTCTCCCCGTACTATGTCAGATTTGAAAACAGCATGGCCGTGCGGGGCTCCGCCCATGTCATTTATTCACAGACTTCCGTGAATGAATGAACTGAAAGACCCAACAGCCTTAGCGGTCATGGGCTTGGCCTGTCCACGGTGCTGTGGTAGTTCATTGAAGCTTCCTTTCAGAATATCTGCTTGGCCGTACATCCTGTATGGCAAGCATATATTTTGACAGGTCTGCAGGAGACCTACATGGCATCAGTGATCTACTGGTCGCTGGTGCAATGCTTTCCATGCTCCTTTGGACATAAATAATAAATGCACATTTTACCTGCAAAAAAAAAAAAAAAGTGTATGTTATTTTTGTCCAAAGGTGAACTTATCCTTTAAAGTGAATCCCAAAGCCCAATTTTGTTTTGCTTGACTAGATCGTTAAGTAGGTCCTTTTACAGTTTTGGTAAAATGTGAGGCAATTGTACAAAGACTATATGGTCAGACAGTAATGTGCATGGTGCACTTTAGGGCAATTAACTCTTTGTCTCGGTGAACACTAGGACCAAAAGTGAATGAGAATCCAGAATTTTGAGATGCCATCAGAAAAGGAACAGAGTGGACGTCTTATAATGGGGTTACCTGTTCCTGTGATAATGGTTTAAGAAGGAATTTCCCTAAGTTTTGAGAGATTTCCTTTCACTTCCTGTTGTGTCTACAGGACAGAAAGGGAAGAGAAATATCTACAATGGTACAAAAATGGCAGGGAAAACCTGACAAGCAGGACATGGAGGCAATGTTTCTGAAATCAGAAAACTCCCAACCTACTTATATTCATCTTACCTGCTCTCTCTCGCAGATCCTTGCTCTTCTAAAGCTAGTGCTGAGATAGGCGGTCTCAGTAACCATGGTAAGTTAGGACATCACTCTCCCAGTCATGTGACAGTAGGCTTTGCAACTGGCTGCTAGGCAAAGGTACTGTTACAGGAGTGCAGGTCATATGCTCCTCTATGCTCAAAAGTGACAGGCATTCTTGAGGAGCAGTAGGGAACTGCAAGAAAGCGCAGGTAAGAAGGTCAAAGAGGTGGGGGTCTTTCCAGGGATGCGGTTAGCTTTCCCTGCATGGTGCTAGTGACAGTGTCTCTGACCATTTCCAACTCTATGTAAACAAACTTTGAAACTTACTTTATGATGATTTCTTTAATGCGCAAAAGGAACAGTTATCCTTTAATCCAGTTGGAAAGTGATGATGTGCAGCAATGTGTTATGGCACAGCAGAAGACAAAGCTCTACTGAAACTTGTGATCAGGGCTAACACATGCTACATGTGTTAGTGTTAACTAATGATTACTGCATAATCTTTATTGGGACAGCACTGAAGCTGGCCAAACATCTCTGCTTGCAAAAGGAAAAAAATATCCTTTGGGCACAAGTAAAGAAAAAGATGCACAATGAAGCATCATGTTATAGATATAAATGCATCCCAGTGCCATAATTAGGACCTTCCTATTTTGAATGGCTTGCGCTGTCAAAAATTACTCAGGGTCCAGGTCTGCTGATATCTACACTTTAGAAATAGGAGATTCTGTCCAAATTGCAAGAATAAATATTACATTAAAATAATGAATGTTGTTCAATGAATGTTAACAAATAGCTGCTGCTCGAGGTGGTTTCAAGCAAGCGTTACTATACTGTAGCTAAAAATGATAAACAAAAGAAGACTAACAGATAAGAAAATTATGCATTTTTTTAAAAAATATTGTTCACCACAGATACCTTTTCCTCTTCTTTACATACATGATCTATAAATAAATAAAAAAAGCACAAAATGAAAACCTGTTGTTAACAATACCGACAACGTAAAAGCAATGCACAATGTAAAAATACTAACATAGAATGACAACATAAATAATCCCAATTTAGACAGCATGCAGGAGTTGTAGCAAATATGAAGCAGTCACTCGCGAATTATCTTCTATATGGTAAAAGCACTCAGAAGTTTTGAAAACTTACCACTGCAACAACTACACCAAGCAAAGTGATCAGGAAGAAAGGCACCAGCACAATCCCTCCCATAGAGTCAGCATTGATATTACTTGGTACAGAGTCTGTGGAATTACTCATGGTGTCACCGAGGTGGGCATTGGTGTGATAACCTGAATGTGATGCCGACAAGAATCTGGCATAGACAGAAACAAAAATGTGTTATCCATATAGTCTGTAATGTATGCAGATATATGATTCATATTAGTTTTACTTGTTCATTTTTGGCGAGCACACTGTTCTGTCCTCAAATATTAATTTATTGTTTGCACCAACAGAAGACTAGAAAGCTAATTTTGGTTTTTGAAACATCACTGGTTGAGTAGATGTAGCAGTAAAGTTATTGAGCGATAGACCGCAGGTGGACAGCCATATGCCCTCACCAGAAGAGACATTGTTTAGATATACATGCATCAATGCTCAGTAGACGTGCAAGCAGGTATTTTTCTATTGCATAGGACTGGCACAGTGGGCATGGGTTGCCACCAAACATGTAGGGCAGAGCCTATTTCATGACATCATTGTGCTTACTGTCATCCGGTGGGTGTTGCCATTTAACATGTCTGTCTACTGGTATGCTTGTGAGTACCACATAGTTTAATAAATATAATTTGTGGAAGATATTAGGCCATGGTTTTGGTTCTTTTATTTTTGAGCGACACCGGCGCTGTTCTCGTGACTGAGACTGAGCAGCAGAGGTGATCTGTAGTGCCAACCATAGGAGATCCACTGATGCTGAATGGCTGTGTTTGGGAGGATCAGAGAACTATAATGTTTTAGCCTCTTATAATGTGGAGGTTAGTCTTTTTGTACAGTGGAGAAAATAATTATTTCATCCCCAGCAGATTTTGTAGGTTTACCCCCTTACAAAGAAATGAAGGGTCTATAATTTTTATCATAGGTATATTTTAAATTTTACAGACAGAATATTAACAAAAAATCCAGGAAAAACAGAATACAATTATTATGCAGTGAGTTGGAGTTCCATGAGTATTTGATCCCCTACTGACCAACAATAATTCTGGCTCCCACAGACTGGCTATGTGCTCATGTGGTACACAGATTAGTCCTGTCAATTTAAGAAGGCGCTCCTAATGACAACTCGTTATGTGTATAAAAGACACCTGTCCACAAAATCTCTTACATTCAAACCTCACCATTATGGACAAGACCAAAGAGCTGTCAAAGGACATCAGGGACAAGATTGTAGTCCTGCACAAGGCTGGAATGGGCTACAAGACCATCAGCAAGAAGCTTGGTAAGAAAGAGACAACTGTTGAAGCGATTATATGCAAATGGAAGAAATACAAAAATAACCATCAATCACTCTCGGTCGGGAGCTCCATGCAAGAGTCTGCCTCATGGGATAAGGATGATCATGAGAAAAGTAAGGAATCAGCCCAAAACTACACGGAAGGAGCTTGTGAATGATCTCAAGGCAGTTGGGACCACAATCACAAAACAAGCTATTGGTAAAATATGCGGCCATGGATTGAAATACTGCAGCGCCAGCAAGGTCCCTTTCCTCAAGAAGGCACATGTACAGACCAATCTGAAGTTTGCCAATTAACATAGAAAATGATTTGGGAAGAATTGGGAGAAAGTGCTGTAGTCAGAGGAGACCAAAATTGAGGTCTTTGGCATTAACTCGACTCACCGTGCTTGGAGGAAGAAAAAATGCTGACTATGACCCTAAGAAAGCCATCCCTACAGTTAAGCACGGAGGTGGAAACATTATGCTTTGGAGCTATTTCTCTCCTAAAAGGTACAGGCCAACTTTGAGGGGCCAATAGACGAGGCCACATATTGTAAAATCTTGGATGAGAACCTTCTTCCCTCAGCCAGAACACTGAAAGATGGGTTGTGGTTAGCCTTATAGTATGAAAATAACCCAAAACATACCGGCAAGGTAACAAAGGAGTGGCTCAAGAGGAAGCACATTAAGGTCATGGAGTGGCCTAGCCAGTCTCCAGACCTTAATCCTATAGAAAATTTATGAAGGGTGCTGAAACTTCGAATTTCCAAGCGACAGCCAAGAAACCTTAGGGATTTAGAGAAGATCTGTAATGAAGAGTGGACCAAAATCCCTCCTGATATGCGTGCAAACTCAGTTACCAACTACAAGAAACAACTTACCTCTGTGCTTGCCAACAAGGGTTTCTCCACTAAGTACTAAATCATGTTTTGCTTGAGGATCAAAATACTTAAATTTTACTCACTGAATTGCAACTCAATTTATAACATTTGTATCATATGTTTTTTCTGGATTTTGGTTGATATCCTGTCTCTATCATTTAAAATGCACCTATGAAAAAAATTATACACCCTTCATTTCTTTGTAGGTGGGCAAACTTATAAAATCTGAAGGAGATCAAATAATTATTTTCCCCACTGTATGCAGCCTTTTTGGATGGTGGTGGTCTCTCACTCTGAGGTGCGGTCCTTTAGGACACCATCATAGCATCGGTGGCACGTTAGTGGATGGACCTTATGCCATATCTGCTCGGAACCAGGGGCGGACTGACAACTCATGGGGCCCCGGGCAACAGGGGATCATGGGGCACCTGTGTCCTTGGCAAAACTCAAAAAAGCCTGTGAAAAGGTTACCAGGGGCATCTCATGGGGCCCCTTACTGACCCCGGGCCCTCGGGCAGTGCCCGAGTTTTCAAATGGTCAGTCTGCCCCTGCTCGGAACTTTTGATTTTTGCACCAAACTTTATGAAATACTGGACACAAATGCACTTTATTGCCTTTATTCACTATAACGCTTTGGTAGTTTATTGATACTCATGATTTTATGTATTATGTCATATGAAATGATGGACGCAATGATTTCTGAGTTTACTGCATGTAGCACTTTGTTCTACTGCACTTTATAACTGATATTTACCATTTGTGCTATGAATATAGAGTATGTGTGGCACTTGTTAAAGAGACAGCACACCATTTTTTTGTTTTTTAATCTGTATTTACCTTGTATTCAAATATAGTGGGAGCTGTAGTCTTGCTTTAAATAAATAAAACACCAAGTTCAGGTTGTTTTTGGTAGCTATAATTCACTGCAGAATCTTCACTCACCTAACAGCAAAGACCATGCTGTTTTGTAAAATTACAGAATCAAGGAGAAGACTATAAAATATAACACTGAACATGTTATGCTAAATATAGTGTTAAAATTCATGCACAGGAGTTGTTATACCTTACACACGATTTGTAATGCTATCCCACCACTTGAGTGGTTCACACCACTGCCATGCACTGGCCTCACTTTTGCATATTACAGATATGCTTTACAGTTTGCTCACTTCCCCAATAGCATCCTACTGGCTGGACAATTACATTTTAGCAGCACACGGATTAGGTAATCCCCATACTGCCCCCTGTAAACTCCCTAAACATTCTCACAGCTGAGTGCCACCCTGAAAGACAAAGCTCTGACACATGCATGTAGTTCTTGCCAAGCATCCCACGCGAACACATGCAGGAGGCAAGCTTCAGCACTGTCATGAAGTGCCAACGTTTCTGCTTGTCAGAAAGGCTTGGGGTTCAGTCATGAAAGAATGGTTTAAAAGGTGATTGGAAATATGAGCACTAAACCAGGCAAGTAAAATTATCTCGCCATTAGCACCAGCGGAGCATTTTTCCCCAGTTTGTGCTTGGCTCTATGTAAAAAATGATCCTCCAAATACAAGAGATAGCAAGGAGCCTCCAGTGGGTGTGTTTGGGAAATGTTCATCTACATCACAAGCAAGGGTTCATAGATCACCAGATTATGAACAGTTGGAAAAAGGTAAATTGATATACTGCAGCTATGCCTGGATAAAAATGTACTAAGGAGGTAGGCTGTTTTCTCTGTTTCCCTCTATGGACTTCAAGGTTCAAATTTTTAACTCTATGTATCGTTACCAATTAACTTAATACAATATTCAGCCTACTTATGATCGTGTGACATTTTGTTTCCATTATTTTTGCTTACCTTGCCAATAAAGTGGTACTCAGGTTTCCATTATAACATGCTGTCAGAGAAAGTACATTACAGTGTGGAAGGAAAGGCTGATGGTGTTAAAAAAACTGTCTGCACTTCGCTTGATCAACAAAATGGTCTAGAAAAGAATTGAAAATAATTATGTGAGAAGAAAATGTATACGTTTTGGTTTGCAAAATTGAGAATATTTCTTTCAAGTTATAAGGGTATGAGCATTAGGCCAGATGTCAAGTATGAACTTTTAGAGATGGGACCTTAAGTGAATATGGGTCATTATTCAGATAAGTAGGGCTAATAAATGATTTGCAGCACTTGTTTTTTTGTCCTTAATGCACTTGGAGGACATTGCCAGGGAACTATTTGAAAGCAAAGGGACAATAACCCATGAACAATCAGTAATTTATAGGGCTGCTAAAAAAAAAAAAAAAAAAAAAAAAAAAATACACTGACACTGTACTAATGGCACTGGGAAGGAAGGGGTTAACATGAGGGGCAAAGGGTTAACTGTGAGAAGGGAGTGTTTTACTGCGGGGCAGCATCTGTGTGCTTCACTGTCATCACATTGCTCTGGATGGCTGTGCTGTGAACAGCCATCCAGAGCAGTGAGTCCAAGCTGACAGGGAGGAGGACTGTTCGTAAATGAAACAGTCCTCCTCCTGTGTATTCACTGGCCAGGACCCCGTGGTTGACAGCCGCGCGTGCCACCTAATCGGAAATGCAAAATCACGTATATTTACGTGGTTTTGTGCACCCCTGCCACCCTGTAGCAGTATATCTGCTATAGAGCAGAGGGAAAGTGGTTAAAAGAAGTATTAAATACAAAAGCAAAACGTATTATACTGCAGCTTACTAATTCTTAGATGTGATGGCTGCATTGGTTTCCTTTTTTTCATCTGGTGATCCAGCCAGCAAGTCTGTTGTTTTTCTAAAGCACAAGCTCTCCAGCAGAATGTATAAGTTTACAAGGATGAGACAAACCAGTTAACACTGGCAGGGGTGCTTGGAATGATCATCATATGTATTCATGCAAAAAGCTTTATCCCAAAAAGAAAAAAAAAAAAGAAAAAAAAAAAAAAAAAAAAAGGGATTTTTTTTC